AGATGCCGTCGAAAACCGGTTAAACCAAATTAATTCAGAGTTGGCCATTATGCCGGGTGGATTAACCAAATAACTCCAGCCACTAGATATTGGTGTCAGCAGGGTGTTCAGAGTTAGACTGCGAGCTGCGTAGGAGCAGTTGATGACGGAAGGCGAAAACAAAATTGCCAAGACGGGGAGACAGTGCCGGATGTGTTACGCCACTATTTGCCAATGGATCGTAGATGTCTTGGTTAATGTACTAGTCTTAACTGTGGTCCGGACTTTCATTAAGGCCGAGATCATCAGTGAACTGACAGGTAACGGCTGAGATAATGAGGAGGGGGATCCGGGCATGATGGATACCGTAATGACTCAACTGTTCAACTCGGACACCGAAGAGAAAGAATTTGAGGTATTCGAATGAACTGGAAGAGTGAATTTATTGTTTAGTACTTTACGCGTTATAACTGAACAGCTTTAAGATTTTGATTGAGCGGTATCGGACTGTTTTTTTTTACGTGTTACAGCTGAACAGGGTTGCAAGTTATTGTGAGTACGCTCATTAACGTTTGAACAATGTTGATGGTTATTATGAATCTGTTCAATAAGGTTTGACTGACTCATCTGTCTGTTTTGTTTCCCTTAATACGCCTCATGGTCCGATACGCTGGCTGGCCTTTGTGGATAATTTGTTGCAGTTGGTTACGTTAATAGGTAAAAACTCTTGCCGCTGCGCTCTTCAGACCCGGTTTCGTGCGCGAGGAAATGAAGTTTCACGCTAGGTGGAAGGAATAGTGTACTCTGTACAGAGGTAATGAAGAATAGGTTGGAGGAAGTTAATCATCGGACAAATGCGCGACCACCCGCGATGGGTGTGAGAGCGCGGGAGTCATCACAGCGTCTACAGCGCGGTCACGTAAATGATTTGCCCAATCGACTTTGGTGGCACTGGTACGTATATGCAAGCGGTCAGGAGAGGTTGAGCAGCCCCCTCGGAGTTAGGTTGGTTGGTTGATTAGTAGCCCTTGTTGGATCATGAGGCCCCGGCGGAGTCCAAACTGGGTGCACTTGGGAGACGGAGAAAAGCCGCGACCTCAGCCGGCGGAAACGTCGTAAACCCTTTTCACATTAGAGGCATACGCCCAATAGAAGGAGCCCAATCCCGGAAGGTCTCGAGGTTCACGAGCAATATACATGTTCAATTGGTTAACTTTATAGGGTGAGTACCTCAATGGCCAATGGCTGCATATCGATAGAAGATAAAATATTATTGGTAAAAAACAGTATGCGACAGGAAAGGAATAGCTTATATAGTTTAAAGCGAGTTCGTTAATGTGTCAGATTACTGCACGTATCTTGCGGAATCTACCAGCTTATATTCCTTACATCATCCCCGGAAGAGGAAGAAGAGGAGACGATTCCTGAGA